ATAACAACGACAATGACGACGATGATAGTGACGAGTGTTGGAATAATCTTAAATTTAGTTATTAATTATTTGGTTCATTTATTCGTTAATTATTTATTTGTTATCATTTGAATAAGTCTTAGAGTAGTGGAGACATTCTAGGAGATAATTGTTATGTTTTGAATTGGTTGTAATCGTCGTGGGTGTGTTGCTGATTTGTAGCTTCCACTCCTGTTGGCTTGGTCTTTATATTCAACTTGTTGTGTTCTTGTGATGTACCACAGAACCAACTGTTTTCTCAGCTTCTAAATACAACAAAAGAGCTTGGCTCAGTTCTTGTGTTTATATATATATATATATATATATATATATATATATATATAGGGGAAAGATCAAGTACAAAGTGTGCTTATTGTGCAAATATTTGTACGATGCACCTTGACGTTATTTGCATTGCATATTGAGGTTCAAAGTATTGCACATTATAAATTCATAAAAATAGCAGTTGCACATTAAGGTGCAACGAGTTGCACCCTAAAAAGTTGAGTTTTATTACAAAAATGCCACCTTGCCTTTATGTCCTTTGGATCAACTCATCGGACGGTCAAGATGAGTTTGTACTTTGTAAATTAAGAAGGCTTTGTATTTGATCTCTATTCTATATATATATATGTATATATATATATATATATTACAGTTTGTTGTAGTTAGTTCTAATCCAACATTTGGTATCAGAGCCAGTGATTTTCAAATGGCATCAAATACTTTTTCTCTTTCGATACCTACATTCAAAGGAGATCATTATAATTCATGGGCTATCAAAATGAAATCATATTTGAAAGCTATGAGTTTGTGGGAAGCAATTGAGAGTGATGTTGACCCAACCCTTCTTCCACAAAATCCAACAGCAGCCCAAATCAAAAAACGCGACAAAGAAGCGGCAAGAGAAGCTAATTTAAGGCACTTACATGTATCCATTCGGCGGTGTCGGGAGGAATCTTCACAAGTATCATGACTTGCGAGTCACCAAAAAAGGCATAGAGCATGCTAAAGGAAGAGTGTGAGGGAAATGCTAAAACAAAGTTGATGCAAGTTTTGAATCTCAAACGAGAATTTGAGATGCAGCGGATGAAGGAGAACGAAACCATTAAGGACTATGTAAGTAAGCTTATGAGCATTGTTAATCAAATTAGGCTGTTTGGTGAAAAAAATTCTAATGAGAGGGTGGTTGATAAAATTCTGGTGAGTGTTCCTGAAAGATATGAGTCTAAAATATCCTCACTTGAAGATTCCAAAGACCTGTCCAAAATATCTCTAATGGAGTTAGTCAATGCCCTTAGTGCCGTTGACCAAAGGAGATCAATGAGAGAGGAAGAAAATGGAGGAAAAAATGAGGGACTCCAGTTAGCTAAATCTTCATTCTCAAAAGGCACTGGGAATAAAATTCAATGCAACCATTGTCATAAGATTGGTCATGAAGAAAAGGATTGTTGGCACAAAGGAAAGCCACAATGCTTCAACTGCAAAAGGTATGGGCATCTGGCAAAGAATTGTAGATTCCAAACTGATGAAGAAGTCTTGGCAAATTTGGTTGAGGCAGAACCTCTCCTTTAAAATTATGGGTGATTATGTGCAATTGTGCACCATGGGGAGAAGTGCTCCAAAGTGTTTATTTTGATGAGACGTGCATCAAAGTTTGATGGTGGTGAGAAGTGCATCACAGATGAAGAGAAGTGCTTTGTAAATTTAAGATTATGGGGGAGATTGTTAGAATAATCTTAAATTTAGTTATTAATTATATGGGTGGGATCGGTCCGGTCTGGGTTGGGTTTTTGCTAAACCCGGAAATTACCCGGAAGGTGTCGGGCTATGAAAATTAGGGACCCGAAAAAAGCCCATTATATTCGATCCGAGTCGGGTTTTTGGTAGCCCGGGTTCGGTTTGGGCCGGTTAAAGCCCGAACGTGAAACATGTCATTGTTCTTTTATATTTTAACACCTATTTTCAAATAAAATTAATCAAAAATACAAACCGCAAATAATAATAAAAAAATTAGTCTCCAAAATCACCAACAATTCAAATCCAAAAAGATAATTATCTTAATATTTTATTTAAGATGCATATAATTAAACAATATAGGTTTCTTAAAAATTTTACGAAATACAATTTATATATAAAAATGTGACTAGAATTGCTATAAATATATTTTCATGGTCATTACGTTAAACAAATTGAACATATTTGCAGTCACTACAAGTTACTAAATTATTATTTTTTATCCACAGTGATTATAATCATATATTAGGAAATATTTATAAATTTATATTCATATACGATTATTATATTAATTTTATATTAAAGCTAATTGTTTCGGGTTTTTATTGGTCCGGACCGGGTTATAGATTTTAAGGCCCGTTAATGAGCCCGGAATTTCGGCTTCGGTCCGGGTTTTTTTTAAGTTCGGTCCGGTTAAAAAGAAAAACCCGGACCGGGATCATAATTCGGGTCAGTCCAGGGTCGGTTTCCAGGTTTCGGTTCGGTTTTTCCCACCCCTAATTAATTATTTGGTTCATTTATTCATTAATTATTTATTTGTTATCATTTGAATAAGTCTTAGAGTAGTGGAGACATTCTAGGAGATAATTGTTATGTTTTGAATTGGTTGTAATCGTCGTGGGTGTGTTGCTGATTTGTAGCTTCCACTCCTGTTGGCGTGGTCTTTATATTCAACTTGTTGTGTTCTTGTGATGTACCACAGAACCAACTGTTTTCTCAGCTTCTAAATACAACAAAAGAGCTTGGCTCAGTTCTTGGTTCAAGTGAGAAATGCATCTAATGTGAGAAATGAGAATGAATCTCAGCCATTAGATTCGCGAAGTTGCACTAAAATGATTTGATGTTGCAGTGATATTTAAATTTTGCACATGTTGCACTAAAACTGTTTCATGTTGCACTAATATTTGACGGCGTTGCACCGAAATAGCTTCATGTTGCACTAGACACGTCTAATACGGATTTTTCAGAAGTATTTACAGAAATGCCACCGTGCTAGATTGCATATTTCAGTGCATCATCAAGTGTCTTTTACTGCAACTTAGTCGAATCCAATGGTTGAGATTCATTCTCATTTCTCACCTAAAGGGTTCTTCTCACTTGGACCTTACCCTATATATATATATATATATATATATATATATATATATATATATATATATATATATATATATATATATATAGGGAGCGGTTCCGATAAGAACAGATCTTAGGAGAAAAATGAGAACGAATCAGGACCGTTGGATTGTATTATGTGGAACCAAATTGTGCATTTGGTGAAACTGAAATGTGCATTAAATGATATTGAAATGTGCAAAATAAAGATTTAAACTCAAGTGTGTATTAGATGAAACTGATATGTGCGGAAAAAAAGTACAAAAATAACATCACATCGTACTTTTTATTCTGCACATTTCAGCTTCACCTAGTGCACATTTCAATTTCACGTAATGCACAATTCAACTGCACATAATGTCAGTCTATCGTATTCTTTGTGATGCACATTTCAATTTCATCTAATGCACATTACAGTTTTATCTAATGCACACTGAATTTCACTTGAAGCAAATCTAACGGTCCTGATTCGTTCTCATTTCTCTCATAAGATCACGTTCTTATTTGAACCAAAACCTATATATATATATATATATATATATATATATATATATATATATATATATATATATATATATATATATATATATATATATATATATATATATATATATATATATAATAGAGATCAAATACAAAGCCTTCTTAATTTACAAAGTACAAACTCATCTTGACCGTCCGATGAGTTGATCCAAAGGACATAAATGCAAGGTGGCATTTTTGTAATAAAACCCAACTTTTTAGGGTGCAACACGTTGCACCTTAATGTGCAACTGTTATTTTTATGACTTTATGATGTGCAATACTTTGAACCTCAATATGCAATGCAAATAACGTCAAGGTGCATCGTACAAATATTTGCACAATAAGCACACTTTGTACTTGATCTTTCCCCTATATATATATATATATATATATATATATATATATAGAAAAGATCCTGTCCAGACGTCCGGACAGGAGCCGCCGTCCGGCCGGCGGCGTTTGGCCGCCTTCCCGGTGGATGTTTTTGATGAAATTTTTATGGCATGTTCTCCATCAAGTCTAGTTTATCCACAAAAAAATTCAGCCAAAAACTCAATCGGGAAGGTCGTCAAATGATTTTTGCAAGTTAACTGGTCCGGAATATGTATTTTCCGGACCAGTTAACTTGCAAAAATCATTTGACGACCTTCCCGATTGAGTTTTTAGCTGAATTTTTTTGTGGATAAACTAGACTTGATGGAGAACATGCCATAAAAATTTCATCAAAAAATTCCACCGGGAAGGCGGCCAAAAGCCGCCGGCCGGACGGCGGCTCCTGTCCGGACGTCTGGACAGGAGCATTCCTCTATATATATATATATATATATAGGGGAGGGTTCTAGTGAGAACCCCTCTTAAAATGAGAACTCATGAGAACCCTTAGAACCAGTGGTATTTTTAGCTGAAATTTTTTGTGTATGTTCCTCATCAAGTATAGTTCATCCATACCAAATTTGAGCAAAAAAATCAATTGGGAAGGTTGTCAAATGATTTTTTGAAAGAAAATTGCGTTTTATATGTATGTTCCGGACCAGTTTTCTTTCAAAAATCATTTGACGACCTTCCCGATTGAATTTTTTGTTCAAATTTGGTATGGATGAACTAGATTTGATGAGGAACATACACAAAAAATTTCAGCCAAAAATATCACCATTCTCAGGGGTTCTCACGGGTTCTCACGTTAAGCACCGTTCTCATTTGATCTTTATTCTATATATATATATATATATATATATATATATATATATATATATATATATATATATATACTACGTATATATATATACATTACAGTTTGTTGTGGTCAGTTCTAATCCAACAACGAGGAGGATGAGGACGAGGATGAAGATGACGACGGTCCCGTGGGATTGTCAGAAGATGATATTCGCGCGCAAGCTGAAGTCGGAAACGTGGGAAGGCGGTGCCGACGCCGATAAGGCATGTACGGTATGTTTGTCGAAAGGTGAAATGATAATCCGTCTGGTGCAGACATGTTCTCATTCATTCCACAAAGATTGCATTGTGGCGTGGCTGAGGCTGAACGGGACGTGCCCTATATGCCTCCATCGGGCCGTCTGCGACGTCGATGAGACTGTTGTCACCCTGCCGCCGCCGCCGCCCGCATTTGATATCATGTCTTTGATGCCTCATAATTGGTATGATGGTCGTCCGCCTCTTAATTCGATAGTTAAGTTAGATTTGGATGTCCTAAATTTTCAGTCTGGGCAGAAGCAAGCATCATAGGATCGTAAATTTTCAACTCAAATCTTTGTCATTTTGAGTTGAATTGAAAGGCCTTATTGTGCTTTTAGATGAAACCCGTTCTTTTTTAATGGAGGAGCTGCAATGAGTGTAATCCTATCCATGTCAAAAATTAAAACAATGTCTCTCACTAATCGTAATTTGCTTAAAAAAAAAACTAATCGTAATTAATCTATAACACTGTCTTATTGACTTTGGTTGACTAATAATTGTCAAGTTTAACCAATTATAAGTAGTATTTATTAGCTCGTAATTATTTAAAACAACAGTATTAATACGAAATTGACACGAATTGATCGGTTTTGGCACGAATCATAACACCGCTTTGGCATGACTCTGTGCCAAATAGCACTTGACAAAATGTTGACACGAATTTTAGCGAATCTCTGTCAAAGATTCGTGCCAAATCCGTGCAAAACTCGTGCACATTTCGTACCAATTCAGTTATTCTTTAGCGAATCACTTAATGTTCTTTGTTAAAATGCTTAATATTTAAAAAATGGATGATGCATGTTATTTTAGGTCTTTGATCAACAGTTCAAATGCTGATTGGACTAGCTATCCCGATAGTTCTCGCTCCACCACTGGGTATGCAGTTTTTCTGGGCATTTATCTTATTTCATGGCGGTACAAGAAGCAACCAACGGTTTCAAAGTCCTCCACTGAAGGTGAATACAGAGCCATAATTTACACTGTTCAGGACACCCTCTTTGTTCAATCACTTCTCGTGGATATGGGAGTCTTGATTTCGACTCTTGTTCAGCTACATTGTGACAATGTCTCTGCAACTTACTTGGTTGTTAATCCCATTCGACATGACCACAACAAACACATCAAGATTGACCATCACTTTGTCCGAGAACGAGTTGCTCATGGAGATCTCAGAGTTAAATATATTCGCATATAGTTACAGTTAGCTGATATTTTTACTAAAAACTTATCTAGTCAACGTTTTGAATTTTTACATTCCAATCAGTGCGTTGTATCCATGCACAGATTGAGGGAGTTAAATGTATTATAGTGGTTTTATTTTGTAATTTCCAAACATTGTTTTATTATAAATGTATGTTTTTAGACTTCCAAAAGGGTAAACCATTATTCTCTCGCTACTAATTAACACTTACCAGATTTTTTAGATTTGACATCCGCTCGCTCCTCGATTTTGAGATTTTGGACGTAAAGATTAGGAAACAAGATAAAGATTAGGAAACAAGAGTCAAGAAAAATTGTTGATTTTAATTAATTTGAGTATCCTACTAACTCTCTAGGAGTAATTAATAAACGATCAGGCACTGCCTCTGCTCCCATTTTTTTTATACTCCCTATAAAACAGTAGAGGTAGACGCTCTTCTCTACATGTTTCATTCGATCTCTCCATTATATTAATTAGTTTGACACAGTGCAACAGAGTAGTGCGTATTATATATTAATTGTTGCGATTAATATACTACGCAGTACGTATTAATGAATATCATGGAGTCGACAAGCTGCTACAGTACTGGAGTTCTGCGCTTCAAGATGATCCACGAAATGGCTACTCGGTGGACTATGTTGAATTCAATCCCGGCCATGTTCTGGCTTCCACCCAGAACGCAATAGCCTTTTTCTCCCTCGTGCTTTCATCTCGTTTCGGATTGAATCCCGCCGGCGATGATCGTCTGCGGGGAATCATTCGTCGGTTGGCCAATGGAGTCTTGAGGCGTCCCGAAACTCCGGACTTCATATCCTCCGGCGGTACCATCACTGTCGAATATGAAACTGGCCACGACGATGATGATGAAGATTTGGAGGGTCCGGCGGGATTGTCCAAGAATTATATTCGATCGCTTAGGTCGGAAATGTGGAAAGGCGGGGCCGGCGTGATGGTGGGCTGGAGAAGATATGTGCAGTGTGTTTGTCGGGGAGTACGAGGATGGCCAAGTGATAACCAGTTTGGCTCCGGCCTGTTCGCATGCATTTCACAAAGATTGCATTGCGGCCTGGTTGAGGAAGAATGAGACTTGCCCTTTATGCCGCCGTCGGGCGGTCGACGGAGCTGATAAGAGATTGAGACTGGTGGTGGAGTCACCCCACCACCGTCGGCATTTGATATCATATCCTTGATGCCGCATGTTTCATGTGATTGTCAGCCTAGCTGTTAGATACCAAGTAGAATTTTGGCAGAAGCATAGACATACTAGTTTAGCTTTAGATCGAGTTCTCCTGTTGCTTTTTCCAATGTTAAAGGCAGTTTTCTTTCATTTTTTTGTGTTGATATGCAGCGGAAACTATTTTTTTGAAAGAGCTGCAAATTAGTATAGTTCATGTGAAAAAATGAAAAGAATGTTTGTTTGAATCCTAATTCACTGACAAATCTAAGACTGCGACATTAAGTGTGGAATCTAATAAATTGACAATCCGATTTAGTGATCAGATCAAACCGGCCATAATAGCACACCGCTTCTGGATGTATTGTGATTGTGTGAAGGCTTATGTGATTTCACAGAAAATCTTATAATAGCACACCGCTGGTCTAAGTGGTCATCCTGGTTTAGAGGGCTTGGTTTGCAACAAAATGGTAAATGTCCAGCACACCAAAATGTTTGTGCCATTCATTCTGCTCAATGTCACTCCAGCTACTTGTGATGCAACAGCACCTCTTGTGGCTGCTGCTGCCTCTGCAAGCTTGCCATTTGCAGCTGAATTGTGATCAACACTTTGCTTTTAGAGAACGTGAAGGGCGGTTCATCTCCATACGTACGTCTCCATAACATAACAGCACGAAGATTGATGACCCCAGATCTTAAGGAACTACCCGTGGCATAGAACATAATGTGTCCTATAATTAGATACAAAAATGCTTGAGCCCGTCCCAGTGGACAAGGACTTGATGGCGTTGATGTATCTGCTTGCATCAGCTTTGGACAGGACATTGTTCTTATGTGATGTCCGCTTACAAACATGAGGTCCAGTCCTCCCAGACTTAACTCCTAGACTCAATGGCTGGTTTCACTGAATTAAGATACACCTTTTTCTCCTCAAGAATGTCACCATTGCTGTTTGTTTATCTATTTATTCTTAGGTAGCAGTAGGTATGCAGACTTTTTACTCTTCGTTTTCAATTTTATTTATACACGGCAGTGGAATATTAAAGCATAAGATATGACATATATTTCTCTTGAAAATAAGAAGTAAAAAAGAGTAAAAGAAAAAAAAAATGTCTATATACAGAGACAGTACCTTCACATTGCCAGAAACACATTGTTTTATCCTTAAGGTCATAAACATAAGTAACATATTAGAGCTTTTGCATAATGAGGGGAGCACCATGTTGAGGTTGAGTGGTCCCCATTGAAATAGGAGCATGAGCATAGGAAGGAGAGAGTTCAAAGCAGAACCTTTGTAGAATCATTGTGATAGCCATTTTAGCTTCCACCAAAGCAAAGTTTTGGCCAATACATATTCGAGGCCCTCCGCCAAACGGAAGGAAAGCGTTTTTACCCTTGGTTGCTCCAATAATCCCTTCACTGAACCTCTCTGGGTTGAAATCCTTAACATCTTCACCCCATATCTCACTATCAAGATGTAGCAATTGTATTGGTAATGACAACATTGCCCCCGGAGGCAAAACTATTTCTCCAAGTTTTGTCTCCTCCACTATCCTCCTCATCAGGCCAGGCACGGGTGGATATAGCCTCAAAGACTCATACAAAATCATTGTCACCTGAAATAATGAGGTGAGGATATCAGAATTAAGAGCTTAATTATTAAGCTAGAAAGAGCACTATTGGCACCATAAGGACTCATACTTACAACTTTGAGGTTATTTAGTTTTTCAAAATCAAGCGCCTCGTCCTGGCCAATAACGTGCAGAACCTCATCTCTAGCTCGGGTTTGCCAATCTTGGAATTTGCTGAGGAGAACCATAGTCCAAACTAGCAACACGGAAGTAGTCTCCTGTCCTGCAAAATAGAACAGTTTGCACTCTTCGATGATATCTTCAATGCTCATTCCGAATTCTTTTTTACCATGTTTTTTTATTTCTTCTATGTTAGATTCCAACAATATGCCTAACAAATCATCTTTGTTAGCCTCTCCTTCCTTCACAGCCTTCAACCTCTTGTCTATAATACACCGGATCGATGATTTCACTTCCTTTTGAATGGCATTCATTCTTCTATTCCTCTTAGTTGGCAGGAATCTGCATTGGAAAAATAACAAACTTATGTGTTTAATGAAACACTCTTTCTGTATTTCATAGTAAGCTTAATTAAGTACCTCCATCCAGGGACATAAACATGGCGTGCAGCTTCCATAAAGTGCTTGGTTTGCTCTTTCTGGAGTTGAAAAATAATCTTTCCTTCTTCATAGCTGCTCCCAAACGCGGTTCGAGAGATCACATCGCACGTCAGGCCTTGAAGGTCGGGCCACACATCCAGCTCGCAAGAACCTTTTTCTGAGACAATCCCCTCCCATTTTCTTACCATTTCACCGCAGCATAGCAAGAAAGCTGGTTGCATGAGCTGTTGATACCAGAATACTATTATTAGATACAATAACATAAAAATCAGTGATCTAAACTTCTATGGATTCTCGCTTCTTGTTCTTCTTATGTGAATTTCACAACCGAGATCATTCTTCTGATGTAGCTTATATCTTAATCTGTATTATCTTTTCTTTTTATATGAGGGTGGTTGTTCTCTTCGATTTTCAATTTTGGTAAGTAATAAAATTATCTCATTTTCAATCTCAGTTTGGATTATTCAGTGTGTATCTTTATTGTAATAAAGTTGTTTTTACCTTGAAACTTGGTTCACTTTACTTCTATTGCATAATGACGCCACTAGGGATGGCAGCGGGTCAGATTTATACCGGGTGAAGGCTCATCCACGTCCACCCTTTAATTTTTCATATTCCACCCACCCGTCCATCATCCATTAGAAATTACATCCACATCCAATCATCCATCATGAGCGGGTTATCGGGTGGATCAGGTGAGTAACGGGTGAATATAAATGGTCTAACTTGAAAGACAAAATAAATAAATTATAAATAGAAATAATGTCAATTAAAAACCAAAAATTGAAAATTCATTGAATAATAACAATAAAAACTTGAGCAATTAAGTATATTGCAATCATTAATTCCTTTCCAACAAAGAAAGAAGTGATTATCAAACAAAATAGACATAAAAAATTTTCAAGCTGTCAAATCTACATTTTTGCATCGACACAAACTATTTTTACGGTTCAACTGCCACTTTTTGAAACTCTTCAATGGTCTTTATTTCACCAATTTATAGATATGTGTCTTCTTCATTAACAAATACATATCTATTACTTTGTAATATATTAATATTAATTATTATATATATTATTAAATAGATATTATATATAACATAACATAACATAACATAACATAACATAACATAACATAACATAACATAACATAACATAACATAACATAACATAACATAACATAACATAACATAACATAACATAACATAACATAATATAATATAATATAATATAATATATTTTTATATGTGGGTTAGCGGGTGGGTGGATAGAGCGGGTGACGGGTCGGGTGATGGATTGGATGAGTGTTCATCCACACCCGATCAAACCCGTCTTTCAATCCATCCATCATCCATTTTTCATCCATACTTTTTCGGGTTTTCATCCATATTTTCGGTTCGGGTTGACCGGATATCTGCGGGTGCGGGTGATATTGCCAGCCCTAGACACCACTTAAATGTATTAGGAACATGCTATTGATTTGCAAACACAAAGTTAACCAAACTTATATAGAGAAGTAGTTTCTTAGAGGATGCCACTGGAAGTTGGTCATTAGTTGGAGGCCAGTTAAGGCCAGTTATCAGTGAAAAACACATAAAGGTTCCAAGTGTTTGGATTTATCATTAGAAGATTAGAAGTATAGCCATGGGCAGATCGGGGGAGCCATGGTAGGCTCCGGCCCACCCCAAATTTAAAAAGAAGTTTAAATATTTGTTACTACCTAAACAATTATGTAAAAAAAATCCAAAAAATCTTTGTACATGCCCCAACCCATTTGCATCCGTGGCTACGCCATTGACCATATCTCATCTTTTTCTATCTAGTAAATCATCACGTAAACTTGAGTTTTTAAAAATTAAGAGACTGAAAGTTTACTACTCCGTATGTAGTAGTGTAGTACTCAATAGTTTTGGAAGCATGTCACTGCTATATTTTTTCATGTTGTAGTTTGGAATTTGATCTACCCAACTTTTGACTTTAGTGAGAAGTGAGTTTTTTTTCATTTGCCCACACTAGAATATTTTAAAAATTCAAAATTTGTCACACAAGTATTGGGTTCATTGCAGATACCTTGCTACAGTGGACACTATTCGAAAAATTTCCCCAAATAGGGGAAAAACAATGCAACTTTTCGAAATAGGAGGAGTATGTTTTTCCCTGAATTGGAATAACTTACCTAACAGTCATCCTGAAATTTTACAATCATATTTTAGCATATAAATATGGCTTCAAAATATTTTTACTCCTAACGACAATTTATTATACTCCTTCCGACAAGTTCTTTGACTACACGATTCTTAGGCTACATGCAACCTAGGGTTGAATAAATCAATTTAAACCTATTAACTCCTAAAATCACTCCAATCCATGTATTTTGGAGTGCCAAAGTGAGTATATGGCACCTGGTGGAGTGGGAATTCGGCAGGCACATTCACCCCGACTTTTGCTTTGGACATTTACGAACAAGGAAGAAAACAACTTGTGTTGGCCGTAGGCCCGTAGCAGGGATAAGTAGTAGGCCTATCTAAAATTTAAATCCCAATTATTTTTGAAGTGTAATAACTTTTTTATTTTTTCTTCAATATTTTCAAAACAAATATCATGATTTGTTGGACCCACACGGGCCCTAGCATATTTTGTAATTAATTATTCGATGTACCTAGCTTTTATTTCTCATATATGGGCCGTGTATAGTAGGGGTGCATCAACAATGTATATATACTTGAACCTTTGTGAATGTACAGGGCAGGAGTTGATTTTCTCCAGAATCAATTGTTTAAACTTGGCCTAAATTCATATGACACCAATATCACATATATACCAAAATATTAAAAAGTTGAAGTTTCAATAACTTGAGTTTTTCAGACCCAAAATTTTTCTGGAATATATTCAAATTCTAAAAAATTAAGATTCCTTGATTAAATTTTTTTTTGCATCTATCAAATTTTTTGAATACAAAAATTCCAAATTTATGTGTTTTTACATCGAAATGTTTAACTCTTTAAATAATAATTATTCGAAAAAAATTAATTGAAAACTATTGAAGCATAGTTACATAAGTAAAATTTCAATTCAAAAAAGTCGTTGAGTAAATATATTGACAGTGCTGGATTGCAGTAAAAACTGAATTGATTAAATGAATACGTATAATTTGGAGGGAAATTTGATTTATTGACGGAGCTGGATTGCGGTCAGTCTTAAGAAAGTAAAGAAAATCTTTTGACTTTTCCACTATACACATACAAAAGTAGATTACCTGTAGTAAAAAAGAAACCGGGTATAGAGTAGATAAAGAAAATAAGGGAATAAGAGTAACTTAACTAACTTCATACTCCCTATTAAAAGCTTATCACAAATAAAAGTGAGAACTTTGTTTTGGATTTGTCCAAAATGAAAGTGAGAATTTTATTTAGAAATGATTAAATGAAGTAAAGTATTTTATCTGAACTTGTCAATATCTAAACTACGTACTTCGTATATGGTACTTCTAATAATCAAATTGAAAGGTCAAAATTTCTATGGCACGGGCCAGTGTGAAAAAGGGACTAATTTTTGTTAAAAAGTAAAAAAAAATGTAACAAACAGGGAAAAACGGGAAAAGCGGGGAAATTCAATAGTATAAAAAAGTAATAGAAAGGTAAAATGAATACTATAGAAAAGGTAAAAGAGAAAGTCAAAAAATATGAAAGAAAATATGAAAAATAAATAATACTCTATATATGATAATTGAAAAAGGTAGAAAAAATGAAAAAATGTAACAAAACAAAAATTATTTTTCAAGAAGCAAAGTGCAGCAAAAAAGGTTGACGACTTGACTTCACCTACCAATTCACCTAAAGTACAGAATGTCATACGGAGTATCAAATTATCAAGTTGATTGTGAAGAAATTGTGCACGTAATTGAGCACACCTTGACCTAGCTACGTACCTTCAGCTTCTCAGAGTAGAAGGCAGGATTGATTATTCTTCGGTGTTTTGCCCATACGTCTTTCTCAATGCTGACTAGTCCTTGAATAAATTTCTTTCCTAGCGGGTTGCTCTGAGGCTTTTGATACACATGGTGTTTATTGAAAACCTCCTTTACTAAATCAGGATCCAAGATGAACACAGCAGGCCTTGGTCCCATCCACACATAGCACTTTCTACCTGTGGAGCAAGTAAGCAGTTCCAAATGAGTCTTCCTTCGTGTACACCCCATTTTTACCCACCACGGATCCGTATACTTATTCCAAAAGAATCTCCAATTTTTGTAACAACTCGTCTGTGTATACATACAATTACGGGCGGGCGTGTACAGAAAAGGTTTACAAAAACCCAATTTTATTGGTCTTCAACAATTAAAGTATTGAAGGAAACATGCTGAAAGATTCAGTGGGCAATTAGCCCATTATTAGTCTTGTACTGTAATTTGTCCACTTTCTTCCAACTGCATTATTCATACATAAAAGTCTATTTCAAAGAGATACAAATTTTCCTTAAAATAATCTTTATAGACAAACTTATTGATTACAAGGCATAAATTCAGTCATGTCAATCAAAATTTTAGTAGTTTCAACAAATTTGATCATCGGGTTGTGGAGTTACCAAATGGGCTCGGGCTCAAAACCAACAATTTTCTAAAAATGACTCCAAATGAAAGAAAAATTTACAAAACGGTAGGGTGTAACTAATTACCATATTTGTTGATGAGATGAAGGAAATAGGGAAGGAGTCTAGGAGCGATATAATCATCAGAGGGATTCATGGGTTTGGAATTGGCCTCACTTATCATGCTGGCAATATCTTTCATGTCTCCAGAGAGGAGCCTGTAGGGGTTACCCTTAAGGCCTTGCTGTTTAAGGCACTTTTCCAACCTCTTGGGCTTGAACCACACCCAATCCATCACTCCCCATAATATTATGCCTAAGGATGCCACTGATGAGGCAACACACACGGCAAGTAAGCTGAAAGTAGCCTCCATCCCGGATTAGGAGTAATTTAATGGGTGGTATGTGTATCTTGATATGATGTTATATAGAAGTCAAAAGTGACCGACTGACCGGTTGGTTCTGGATATAATACAGATCGATATAGATAGTGACCGTAGTACTATGTATACCGTATGAATTATAATAATATAATTCAATTACATTATTATACACCGTGTTTTTAATGCATAAGTTTAACACTATCCATTTGACCGCAGGGTGGCGGCTGTTTGTGCGAAATAGGTGGGAATGGGGTAGCGGATTCAGAGCTCCAAGAAGGCAACAAGGTAGACAACTAGACAAGTATGGGACAAGTGAGAAGAAAAACATATTGAACTGAGTGAAGAGATAATTTATTAGCAGATCTGACAGGAAAATTGAATTGGGATAGTTTTTTCCTGAATTAATGTTAAATAAATAAATAACTCCAAAAATAAAGTTGGGTTAAAAATAATTAACAAAATACTGCCGGCAGGTTAAACAAAGCCGCCACTCGAAGTAGCTACTTACCTGCGTGACTTTCGATTTCAAAGAAGCATTCCAAATGTCAACTTCAATGGTGGGGCCACATATTTTGAAAAACACTTACTCCGTATTATTTTAAATGGATATAACTTTTTTATTTTTGCTCCAATTTTTATAAATAATATATCAAAATTCATAATTTTTTGTTATCTTTCATTAATTCATTTGACACCAATATTGCATATATAATTTTTTATAAAAAAAAAGTGCAAAACATGTTGCGTCTATTTGAGATTTCAAAATTGTACTTCAATCGAAATTTCTTTTCCACCGCACCAAGTTTACGCTAAACAAATTATACCAAAAATTCATAATAACTTACGATCTATCATATGAGACCAACATTGCATATGTAATATTAAAAATATTGAAATTTCTTTTTACTGGACGAAGTTTAAGCTCATATTTTTAATGTTATATACGGAGTATATGTAATTGATGGAGTATATTCTCATATACCTAAGGTGTATCACAATCGACGATCAAAAGACTCCCAGAGCACCGTGAACACTTACGTACTGAAGTTCCAGTCGAGGTCGACCTTGACGCACGAGGTCAGGACCATGCACAAAGCAATGAATCAGGAAAGGACAGAAGACCCCGCTGAGGCCGACCTCGACCACCTGAGGTTGGCAGAAACACCTAGCTCAGAAACCATCGAGATAAGGTGAAATATGAGGCTGACCTCGAGCACACTGAAGTCTGTACCAAATCTGACCTCGAGCAACGCTCACAAGGTCAGCGGAAGTCAAATAAGAGCGAGTAAAATGACCACTATCACACATATTGAGGGCAAGGAGATTATTCCCTTAGAGGAGATCATTTATCCCGAGCTCTGACCTCCTGAAGCTCGGGGCATCACTCACAAGTTGTGGATTTAGACATTTTACAAGTTAAATATGACACACGTTTACTGCCATGTCATCAGCTTCAAGCAGATCGCCACATTGTGCTTGTGAATAGAATGAAGAATATTCCAAATAAAGGCACACGTCTATCCGCACGTGTATTCCGGTACTAATCCGTACCAATTTGAGCTTGGTACGGTGAAAAGGGTAAAGCTAGAATTTGGTCTGGTGAAAAAGAGATTTTTCAATTTTTTAATATTACATATGCAATATTGGTCTTATATGATAGATCGTAAGTTATTATGAATTTTGGTATAATTTGTTTAGCCTAAACTTGGTGCGGTGGAAAAGAAATTTCGATTGGAGTACAATTTTGAAATCTCAAATAGACGCAATATGTTTTGCACTTCTTTTATAAAAAAAATTATGTATGCAATATTGGTGTCAAATGAAAGATAACAAAAAATTATGAATTTTGATATATTATTTATAAAAATTGGAGCAAAAATAAAAAAGTTATATCCATTTTAAAATAATAAGTGTATTTCAAAATATGTGGTCCAACCATTGAAGTTGGCATTTGGAGTGCTTCGTTGAAATCGGAAGTCACGCATGTAAGTCGCCACTTCGAGTGGCGGCTTTATTTAACCAGGGTCCAGCCAACAGTATTTTGAGAATTATTTTTAACCCAACCTTATTTTCGGAATTATTTATTTATTTAACATTAATTCTGGAAAAAACTCTGGATAACAAGAACAATTAAACACACGCAAAAAAGATAAATCAGACAAATGATGAATTAATTTTTCAAAAAGGAAAAAAGCTTTTGAGAACTGGAGAAGGTAAACAATTAATAATAAAAGTAGCAGTAAAAAGTGCATCAACCATTGCCTCAATGAGCGTTTTGTGAGTTAATTCAAGGAGATGATCGAAGGTGTTTGCTTTTAGCAACATCATTTTGTTGTGGAGTGTTAAGACAAAATATGAGAAATAAAATCTCACTCAGAAAAAAGTGTGCCCATACTAGTATTATCAAATTCACTCTGAAAAATTTTAACATTAGCATTTAATAAATTTTCCACCATTGGTTTAAAATGTGTAAAATGAGTAAAAACTTCATTTTTGCGGCGCATAGGATATGCCCAGGTAATTTGATAAAAATCATCAATAAGACACGTAATAAAAAACCAGAAGCGGAAAGAGTAGGAGATTACCAGACATCAGAATGTATTGAAAATAACAGCTCGATCGGTAGAATGATGAAAATGCAATCATGGGAAAATTGAGAAATATTAGTAATAATTCCAAAATGTTTTAAAAGAGATAAAATATGGTCCCCACAATGTCCCAAGCGTCTATGCCAGATTGAAGCAGAAGCCCCATGTGTAAAGGTGATAGGATAGACCACACCATTACTGGAAGCTTAAGGAAGCAATTCCCCCATGATTTTGTTCTTTATAAAATTGCAATTTTTATCAAATACCACAAAATAGTTGTCATTGGCACATAATTTTTGAATGAAAAGCAAATTATATTTTATATGGGGAACACGATGATGGGCAGATCTTAAATTTTGAGGCCGGGGAGGAGAATTTAAGACAACATCACCATTCACCAATATGCTTAATTGGGAGATTAGTCCATTTACCACAGTTACATGTAAAGGACCGCAATTTTATTAATAAAATACCTTCATATGATGTCATATGAGAGGAAGTCTCAGAGTGAGGATACCAAACAGCATTGGTTGATTCACCATGAAGAAGCAAGAGCAGGATTGGAAGGTGAGACAAAGTGAGACGGACAAGCAACAATAGAATGACCTGGAGAATATCATATTTGACAAACAACGAGGAGGGACAAAACCTAAAACTCCATCAAATGAGGGTGATCCTGCAGAACCAACATTAGTAGCGGAAGCAGATAGAGCATAAATATAAAATGATGACTCAGCAGAATTACAAAATATTGTACCAGAATTACATGTAGGTTAGCTGCCAGGTGGTTGAAAATGTCCATGTGAAGGCTGGGGGAAACTGCCCATACCCCGTATGATGACCGCGCGTACTCGTGATGTTGTTCGTAGCCGGGTTGCCGTATCCGCCACGTCTAGGACCTCGATTGTCGCGGTCACGCTGACCACGGTGGTCACCTCTATCGTGAAAGGGTGTACTTATATGGCTGAGGTCCGAGCCGAGAGGATGTTGAGGCGGCTGGAGCTGATGATGCGGCGGCAAAGGCTAGTGACATGGTCGGGGACTCCTAGCTGCGTCGGTATGCAAGACATTGTTCCTGATGAACAAGCTTGGTACGAAGACTCTCAAAAGTGAAGCGATCGGGAAACAAATCAACACCTATGATTAATGCTTCATACTTTGGGACCAAACCAAGGATAATATACTGTAAGGCATCATCAATTATTTTAATATCACGCAGATAGTGCTCCATGGACCGATTTTTCTTCTTTTTGTAATGACTAAGCATACGCTTGAGCTCCATAGCACAAGCCGGACTTGCAGACATATACTGGGACTCATGCGTTCCCAGATAGGAAAAGAATTTTTTAATCATGAACCTCTATGAGTACGTCATGAGAGAGAGTGGCAAATAACCATGAACCTTTGCGGTAGTTGCACTGCCTGATGAGTAGTGACGGTCCATGGAGTCGGCAGTTTGAGGTTGTGCGGGAGACAACACGATATGCAGTGTTGGAGGTGTTGGAGTCCATGTGAAGACCGGCGGGACCCGCAAACCAAAACTTAGGGACGACGATGCGAATAGGGTTGGAGATCGCTCAGACGTCAGGAAAATAAGAGAACCAATGGAGGTTTGCGACAGCGGCCGGGAAGAAGTTAAAAGAGAAGCCATCGTGGAGGATGACGTCGGCATGGTTACATTGGTGGCAGTGTACGGCGCTGCCGTAGATATATAGGTGGCGGCCGAGGAAGTCATATAAAAAAACTAGGTTAAAACCTTACACCTCAGATACCATGTTAGAATAATAATGAGGCATCCCCAACTGGTAACCCTGAATATCATATACATAGAGAGAGAGAGACTTAAGTGTTCTAATTACAATAGAAAACAACATAAATATGGAAACGTAATTACTCTACGCTACTATTAGGAAATAGGGAACTCCCTAAATAAAATTAAAAGATATAAACTTTTCTTAATTACAAATATCATTTTTTTCTTTTCAAAATACGACTTATGTATTCTTATTTAGAATACATAAGTTGTCTCCAACTGTTGGGATCTTATTCTTATTTAAAATACAACTTATGTATTCTTATTCTTGTTTCTTTTTTGGGATTGGAGTCATCGACCTAATTGGTTGGGATCTGTCTTTGTTGATTTGGGCAAGACATTCAGTGGTTGTTTTAATTGTGCCTGAGGTTTTCGGCCTCGACAATGAGCAGGTTCGAAGTTTTCGGCAAAAGGTTAGTGCAACAATTGTGCAAGGATAGCTTTGTGGACAAATACAAGAAGATGGCGAATGGGGCAGAGGAACAAGAACTGGATCGAGATGAAGCTGATGGTGAGGTGGTGGCGGATGAGCGGCGGGCGAGTCCCTCCTGAGCCGTCGCCATGGAGTGCAGGCAAAACTAGGGTTTGGAAGAAGACTTATCTTATTTGTTTTGTTAGTTTTTCCAGTGATCTTTATGTCTGTCTTGTTATATGCTTTTTCTTTATTGTTCCTATTTGTAAGATGTTGATTTTGGATATGGGGGATGAGAGGAATATAGTGGCCGTTTTTGGCTTTTAGTTTCCCATTTATGGATTAGCGAATTATATTGCTACGACGATTAATTCCGAGTCTGGTTCGCGGGATAACGGTTGTCAGATTTTTTTTATCATTTGACTCATACTCTGAATTTTATTGGTTATTAATATAAGCCGAATTAAAAAAATTGTTGTATTGACATAACCATATATTGTCATTAATATTTTTAGACATTGTGACATAATTATATTTTTTTCATTATTTTTTATTATTTAATATTTAATAGTAATATTATTTCGTTATTGGAATTGATGCTCTCTTTTGGTGATGAGAAATATAAATGTCTCAATTGAACTTTTTACAAAAATATTTTAAGAAAAAGTTTGAGCAAAGTCTATTGATAAAATTTAGTATTAAAGAATAATGCCACTCTAATATCATGAATTTAATGCATCAAACCCCCCCTCGTGATATATAAATTTGGTACATTAACACCTTGTTATTCAAAAAATGCATCAAAATCTCATGTGTTATAACAATTGATGTACAAAACCTCTTCCATTTCTGAAATCACTTTTCTTAAAATATGACTGAACATGTAAGCAACATTTTCAAGATTTCAATACAAAATGATAATTATTTTTCATCTTTTTGGTAATTAAATTTGTTCATAGAATGTGTTTTGCGCATGAATAAATATATGTCTATAACATGCGAGAGTTTGACGCATTTTTTAAATTACAATAGCAAATGTGTTGAATTTTTATTCCACGAGAGGATTTGATATATTTAACATCTTGTGGTTCGATGGTATAACTAATAACTATAACATTCTGAATAAGGTCACATGTTTGAAACTATCTCAATTAAGAATGTTGAAATTTAATAGATAATAAAGTATCATTTATCTACTCCCTCCGTCACGAAAAAGTTTGTCAAATTTCTTTTTTTGGATGTCCCAAAAAGATTTGTTATTTCCATTTAAAGTAAGGAATATGTGGCTAAAGTTAATTATCTCTCCTCTATACAAATTTCAACTACACAATTTTTATTTTATTAATCCACGAAAGTCAAAATTGACTAACCTTTTCGGGACCGAGAGAGTATTAAATAAATATTGAGTGGTTCAAGTTTACGCTGAGGAAATCCCAAAAAAATCTGATAAATGTTCGGGGCAGCCAAATATTTGGGGCATTCTATCTGTTCAATGTCACTGCAGCCACTTGTGATGCAGCAGCGCCTCTTGTGGCTGCGGTTGCTGCTACAATTTTGCCAATGCCGCCTATTGTGATCAACAGAGTGTGAAGGGTGGTTCATCTCCATATGTTTCCAAAACATCAGGAAGATTGATGATCCCGGACCTCAAAGAGCTGCCTGTAGATTGTTCTCGCGAGATGTCATGTGGTAACACTTAAGCAATTGACCAATTCGATGGGCATTGTCGCCTGCGCTTTGAGGTCCAGTCCTCCCAACCATAACTCCTAGCCTCAATGGTTGGTTTCATTGAATTGATAATGGAACTGTAATGTTAGACAACCTAACATCTTGACGGGGAGGTCAACAGTTGGTTTACAAAAAGCTAAACCTTTTCCTCCTCAAGAATGTCTCCAATGTAATTTGTTCATCTATTTATTCTTAGGTATGACAACTTCTTACTCTTCTTTTTCAATTTTTTAGTTTATATACACGGAAGTAGAATATTAAAGCATAAGATATGACATAGTTTCTCTTGAAAACGAGAATGAAATAGAAAACAGTAAAACAAAAAAAAAAAAACTGTCTATAACAGACAGTAGTACTTTCACATTGCCAGAATTACATAGTAGTTTTATTCTTAAGATCGTATACATAAGTAATACTAGAGCTTTTGCAATATGAGGGGAGCACCGTGTTGAGGATGAGTGGTCCCTATTGCAATTGGAGCATGAGCATAGGAAGGAGAGAGTTCAAAGGAGAACCGTTGTAGAATCATTGCGATAGCCATTTTAGCCTCCACCAAAGCGAAGTTTTGGCCAATACATATTCGAGGCCCCCCGCCAAACGGGAGGAAAGCGTTTATACCCTTTGTTGCTCCAATTATCCCTTCCCCGAACCTCTCCGGGTTGAAATCCTTAACATCTTCACCCCATATCTCACTATCAAGATGTAGCAATTGTATTGGTAATGACACCATTGCCCCTAGAGGCAAAACTATTTCTCCAAGTTTTGTCTCCTCTGCTATCCTCCTCGACAGGCTAGTTACTGGTGGATATAGCCTTAAGGACTCATTCAAAATCATTGTCACCTGAAATAATGAGGTGAGGATATCAGAATTAAGAGCTTAGTTATTAAGATACAAAGAGCACTATTAGCACCGTAAGGACTCATACTTACAACTTTGAGGCTATTTAGTTTTTCAAAATCAAGCTTTTCATCCTGGCCAAAAACGTGGAGAACCTCATCTCTAGCCCGCGTTTGCCAATCCTGGAATCTGCTGAGGAGAATCATAGTCCAAACTAGCAACACGGAAGTAGTTTCCTGTCCTGCAAAATAGAACAGTTTGCACTCTTCGATGATATCTTCAATGCTCATTCCGAATTCTTTTTTCCCATGTTTTTTTATTTCTTCTGTGTTAGATTCTAACAATATGCCTAACAAATCATCTTTGTTAGCCTCTCCTTCCTTCACAGCCTTCAACCTCTTGTCTATAATACACTGGATCGATGATTTCACTTCCTTTTGGATGGCACTCATTCTTCTGTTTCTCTTAGTTGGCAGGAATCTGCATTAGAATAATTACAAACTTATGTGTTTAATGAAAACAGTCTATATTTTATAGTAAGCTTAATTCAATACCTCCATCCAGGGACATAAACATGGCGTACAGCTTCCAAAAAGTGCTTGGTTTGCTCTTTCTGGAGTTCAAAAATAATCTTTCCTTCTTCATAGCTGCTCCCAAACGCGGTTCGAGAGATCACATCGCACGTTAGGCCTTGAAGGTCAGGCCACACATCCAGCTCGCAAGAACCGTTTTCTGAAACAATCCCCTCCCATTTTTTTACCATTTCACCGCAGCTTAGCAAGAAAGCTGGTTGCATAAGCTGTTGATACCAGAATACTATTATTGGATACAATAAAATAAAAATCAGTGATCTGAAAAACTTGTATGCATTCTCACTTCTTGTTCTTCTTATGTGAATTTCACAACCGAGATCATTCTTATTTGCTCGAGTAATGTATCTATTTTTTCCCTTTCACTCTTTGATGTTGAGTTATAATTTGTTTTTATATGAGGATGGTTGTTCTCTTCAATTTTCAATTTTGGTAAGTAATAAAATTATCTCATTTTCAATCTCAGTTTGGATTATTCAGTGTGTATCTTTATTGTAATTTTAATATAGTTGTTTTTACATCGTAATTTGCATACAGTCGCCACTTAAATGTAGTAGGAACATGCTATTGATTTGCAAACTTATACAGAGAAGTAGTTTCTTAAAGGATGCCACTAGATGTTGGAAGCCAGTTTTGTGAAAAACTCACTAAGGTTCCAAGTGTTTGGTTTAATCAATTTATAGAATATTAGAAGTATAGCCATGGGCAGATGGGCGGGGCCTTGTTAGGCTACGGCCCACCCCAAATTTAAAAAGAAGTTTAAATATAGCTACTAGGTAAAAAACATATGTATAAAACCAAAAAAACTTTGTGTGGGCCCAGCCCAATTTGCATCTGTGGTTACGCCATTGAGTATAGCCATACATGACCATATCTCATCTTTTTCTATCTAGTAAATCATCACCTGAACTTGAGTTTTTAAGAGACAAAAAAATTACTAAGTACTTAGTAGTTTTGGAAGCATGTCACTGCTGTATTTTTCCATGCTGGAGTTTGGAATTTGATATACCCATATTTTGGACTTAGTGAGGAGTGAATTGTTTTCCATTTGCCCACACTAGAATATTTAAAATTTCAAACATTTGTCACACAAGTGTGGGGTTCATTGCAGGTAACTTGCTACACTCTGGAATCTATTTGGGAAAATTCCCAAAACAGGAGAAGAAACAATGCAAAATTTCGAAATAGCAGTACTATATATTTTTCCTAACTTACCTAATTGCCATCACGAAAGTTCACAATCTTATTTTGGCATTACTAGACTTTAAATATGAAGTATAGTAAGTAATTACCTTTATAGTATCATACTTCGTACCCTTTCAAAAAAACAAAAAATCATACTTCGTATATGGTACACTTCTAATAGTTCTAATAATATAATTGAAAGGTCAAAGTTTATTTGCATAGACCAGTGTGAAATTACTCGGAACTAGCAGATTAGTGCTTTAAAAACGGACTAATTTTTGTTAAGATGTTTTTAAGTTGATTAGATCACATCATATTACTCCAAAACTTGAGCAAACTAGACCAAATTCATACACTAATAAATTAGATATAATATCATATATTTAAATCGAAACGACTTGACTTAACCTATCAACACACCTATCTACGTACCTTAAGCTTCTCAGAGTAGAAGGCAGGATTAATAATTCTCCGGTGTTTTGCCCATACATCTTTCTCAATACTGACTAGTCCTTGAATCCACTTCTTTCCTAGCGGGTTGCCCTGAGGCTTTTGATACACATGATGTTTATTGAAAACCTCCTTAACTAAATCGGGATCCATGATTAGGGGTGGGCAAAAATACCGAAATATCGGTATACCGCACTTACCGTACCGAAAAATACCGGAAAATACCGAAATATTGATATACCGTCCTTTTCGGTACGGTATCATACCGTACCGATCTATTTTGGTACGGTAATGGTAAATGTTTTCAAATACCGCGGTATACCGGTATAATACCGTACCGACTCTCTACTCAACAATTACTTTTAATTCTAATATATTGTAGAAATCCATTACAATTTTGAAGCCCAAAATTAATACTTAAGTTGGTTAGAAATACAAAGATACAAAAATAAATGCCCAATTTCTCAAACCCACTATAACCTTATAGGCTTTTACTACGCTAACCTTAATGACTAATGAGTAATGTACAAATGTCAAGAAACAAGTTCATCTTGTTCCAAGAGCTTACAAGTCGTGATGGCTCGGCCGCTAAGTAGCTGACGAGTGAAGAGAGATACATTTATGTGACAAGTGTATCCACATAGGGATTCCGCGAGTCGAGACACACAACTTTGTCCGAAAGTCTTATTCAATTTTTTAAAAATTATAAAAATGACTAAATACACAATATCATATTAGGAATAAATGATTTTATATCCATGTTGTTTGAATAGTTTTATTTATTTTTGTTAGAGATCACTATTGGTTTAATTATATCTATATTGTTCAAGTTATTTTAGGAGAATGTGTTACTTTTTAATATGTGGCATGTTGAATCGCTTAAATATACTAATAATTATTGTTCAGTGTTGAATTGACATCAATAGATTATTAATTGTATTTTGTAACATTTAAATAATGATTTAGTATATTTCGTTAGTCTATGATAATTTTTTGTATTGGGAGACATGCACGGTAATTTACCGATACCGTACCGTTACCGAACCGAAACTTCGGTATACCGAAATGCGGTATACCGAAACTTCGGTAAGGTAAAGGTATGCAAATTTTGCATACCGAAAGTTTTGGTACGGCAAAGGTATGAGAAAAAATATAAGGTATACCGTACCGAACCACCCCTATCCATGATGAACACCGTAGGCTGTGGTCCCATCCACACATAGCACTTTCTACCTGCGGAGTAAGTATGTAGCGTCAGGGCCGGTCCTGATATTTTATGGGCCCGAGGCGATTGAAAAAAAAAGACCCTTAAAAGTTATATAAATATATTGCAAAAACTTAACTTCATATACGCAAATTTCAACATACAAAGTAATGTAAGTCTTTCATCTAAGTCTTAATATATAAACTAAACGAATAAAAATTATATTAAAAAAAACTAAAACCAGAGAATTACTTGTGAAATTGAAATTTCAAATTTGGAAGATATTTTTGAGAAAATTAGGAGAGTGTTGATTGCTGAGCAAAACGAATTAAAGACCAAAGATGAAACCTTGAAATTAGGCCTGCCTAACGGGAAATGATGTCAGACCGGGGCCATTTGAGGCCCTTCCCGATAGAATTTTTTCATGAAAATTTTAAAATATATCTCCACAAAGTTTCAGATTAAAACTCAACCTGAAAGTCAGTTAAATAAATTATTGAAAGATAGTGCGCATTATTTATATACACAAAGCGCAGAGTGTTTCAATATTTTATTTAACTGACTTCCCGGTTGATTTTTAAACTAAAATTTTGTGAATGTAATTTACTCTAAAAAAGTTTCAAAAAAAAAATCTTCCATAAAGGGCCCCAAATGACCTCGGTCTGATATGAATTGTCCTCTCTATATTTATCCATTTATATATAATTATGGGCCCCTGTAAATGTTGGGCCCGGGGCACAAACCCGGCCTGCCCTTGTCCAGGGCCGGCCCTGTGTAGCGTCATTCTTGGTGTAAACAGAACAACGTGTACGCACACTTTTTCAAAAAGATATTGTGATTCTTTTGACGAATTGCTTGTATACGTACACACAGACAACTAGGAGCGTAAGGGCGGAGCTATGTATATGTTTAGTTGGCATTGGCCCCTCCCAACATTTTTTATTTTATTTATTATTGTCGTATACTACTTTTGTCTCTAAAAATTTTGTCATTTTTTACTTTTCAAGTCAATGTCAGTAAAGTTTGGATCATTATTTTCATTAGAATAATACTCCATCTGTATCTATTTACTTGACCCACTTTTCCTTTTGGAACGTATCAAAATAAATGTCTCATTCCCTTTTTGAAAATAAACTCACTCAAAAAGCAGCTACAGTACCACTACAGTACTAAAAACCTCCCACTTCACATATATTTGCCTTAAACTACGTGAAAAAGCATACGGATCAATTAAATAGATACGGATGGAGTATTATTACAAAGGTATCCATAAAAGTCTATGACAAAAACATACTGCAGGGTTGACATTTTCCAAAGTATTCTTCATTCTTTAATCTTTAAAGACAACCTACTAATTACAAGCCATAAATTCAGTCATTTCACTGATTCAGTCGGAATTTAAGCAGTTTCAACAAATTCATCCAGTTGAGGAGTTACGAAATTGACTCAGGTTCTGAACCAACATTTTTCTCAAAAGGACTCCAAATGAAAAAAATATATATATACAAAACAGTAGGGTGTAACTAATTACCATATTTGTTGATGAGATGAAGGAAATAGGGAAGGAGTCTAGGAGCGATATAATCATCGGAGGGATTCATGGGTTTGGAATTGGCCTCACTTATCATGCTGGCAATATCTTTCATGTCTCCAGAGAGGAGCCTGTAGGGGTTACCCTTAAATCCTTGTTGTGTAAGGCACTTTTCCAACCTCTTGGGCTTGAACCACACCCAATCCATCACTCCCCATAATATTATGAGTAAGGATGCCACTGATGATACAACACACAATGCAAGTAAGCTGAAAGCAGCCTCCATCTCGGATTAGGTGTAACTTAATGGGTGGTATGTTTTTCTTGGTATGGTTTTATGTAAAGTAGTCAGTAATGACGGTTGGTTCCGGATATAATACAGATCGACAAAGATACACAAATGGACCTTATATATATACTCCTACACCGCTATACGTGCGTAATAGACTAGGCTTTAAATGTTTTTTGAATAAATAGTTCAAAAATGCATTTGTAATTAGGCCCTTTTACGTAATTGATGACGGAAGGCCGCTGTGGCCGGGTTATTACTTTTATTAGTAAAATAAAAGTACTATTGTTATTGTTATTGTTATTGTTATTGTTATTATTATTATTATTATTATTATTAGTAGTAGTAGTATTAAAAAGGAACATTCTAAGTAGTTAAAATGTATTGCTAATTAGGCCCTCTGACGTAACTGATGGCGACTGTATGCCGTGGCCGGGTTGTTGTTGTTATTATTTTTATTATTATTATTAAAAGGGGTCATTCTGACAAGTAAGAAAATGCCATTGTAATTAAGCCTAAAGTCTTCCAAATCATATATTCCATTGTAATTAAGCCCAAAGTCTTCCAAATCATACAAGATGCATCATTAGTAATTTCTGACTTTCTGAGTGGCGGATTTTAAGGAGAGCAAAGAAGGCAGTTGGCCTGGCCTCAAGTGGATGTTTGCAATAACTTAAAAAAGCGTTTAAAAGTAAAAATTAGTATTTTGACTTTGATAATTTCTACTTAAAAAAAATGTTTCTCGGCTTTTGAGTGAAAAATGATTTTTATCTTTTTTATTACACAAAAAACATTTATTTTACAAAACACTGCCAACTTTTACGTTTCAAAAACACTATTGATAGTCTGATCTGCTACTACGTAAAATTAAATAAATGTAACATATTGAATTTTACACTATTCATGAGTTCTATTTTGATTACATTATATTTTTTAATATATTAATACTCTTTTTTGAAAAAAAATATTAATAAATTTGTCTCATTATAAATTTTCAAAATATGGTTTTTTAGATTCTTTTACTAATAGAGAATTATATATAGTAATGGCCATAGTGGTGCATTGGCAAATGTGAAAAGTTGATCGTTGCATTTATTTAAGAACAGAAGAAGTATATAGTTTTTTTTTTACTCAAGGGGGGTCTGGGGGGGGGGCTAGGGAGAGCCTGGAGTAATCAGGGTTGATACTCGGCCTATTGAGTTCCAAACCCTTATGTGCCTAGCGGGTTTCGAACTCGAGACCTTCTTGGAAAAACCCTTTGGGAAAAAACTAATCAAGGAAAAGAGTACTTAATGTATGTAAAATGATGTGTTATATGGACTGCCTCATTGAAAACATTTAACTAAGAAAACCACGTGGGAAAAACTTAGTAAGAAAAAGAGTACAATCGTTAGCCTTCGGGGCCTAATCTTATGGATTACTTTTGAATTCACTCTTATGTAGAAATATAATACTCCAAAATTTTGAAGATCACAAACTACCTCATTTAAACATTGGGTCAAGAAAATCATACGAGACAAAACTTGATTAAAGAAAAAGAGTACAATTGCATTTGGTTCTTTGGGACCAATCAATTGTTCCACCTCACAAGGATCAATTAAGACCTTCTAGACATTATATTCTAAATTAATGCTAAAGTCACTCTTCTGGAGGATAGTAGTCTTCCAAAAATTAACACTTTTTGTTGTAGTGTATGTTTGAAAATATATACGCAATCTTATAAAATTAGATTGTGTTCAATTTAATTTGATTCCAATTTTGTCCTGAAAAAGACACAAGATCCACCAAAATAGTTGGATCAATTTTCTATGTTTAAAAGAAGAAAACCTCAATCACTTAAATGATAAAAGTGATATTACTATTATCATGAAAATGATGCCTAATTAACCCACTTTTGTGAAATTTGATTTGATTAGAGCTCTTGTTGGCTTTTCAATGTTCATAATGTTTTCTGATCATGTTAATTCACATTTATATTTTTTCAGGAATTATATTACCAAATTAGATAATGATCAGCTTTCATTTAATTAAATTAATTCTATTCAATTCAAGTTGATTATTTTTGGTCGTGACAGATTTGGCCATATAAATCTCAAATATACATCGGC